TCTGGCCAATAAACATGCCATGCATTGGGAGACAAAGGATGGCACCGTTAACGCCAACTACTTCGGCAGTATTACACAGGCGTCCACTGTATTGCTCGGTACAGATCCTTCCGGTGAGACTTATTTTGATGATTAATACATTTATTTATAGTTAAAAGACATCCATAAATAGAAAATACAGTGCAACCTCTCTTGGGGGAACTTCTCTTGGGGGAACACCTCCTTTAGAGGAACGGATTTTAAGAATATTTTGGATTTTCTACACCTATAACAGAACCTCCCTTGGAGGAACCCTCTCTATAGGGAACGCTTTTGCCGTGCATCTGGCCGTTCCTTATGGAGAAGTTGCACTGTATATAAAAAGCCATATATTTATTAAACAAATTTGTTGTACGATTAGAGCTTAAAAAACGTTTCTAGAAATGCCAGAAAAATAAGAGCAAATAAAAGTATTCATGAATTTAGGTTTCTTTACCCAAAATCTAAATTGCATGAGAATTAGTATTATGAATATTATATTGAATTTAGTCTTATTTATGATTGATTGACTGCTTATTAATAACACATTTACTGATATTATCTAATAAAAAGCAATAAAAGTTTATTTTTTTTTCCAAAAAATAAAAATATTGTTGTTAGCCCTCCAGTAATTTGACTTCAATTTGATTATTATAAATATACAGAAATGTACATGTATATAGAAATAAATATCTAGTAATTAATAAAATGTTATTTTACTTGAATTGAAAATCTAATTAAAGATTCGTGATATCTATTACTGAAATTTAGTTTGAAAGTTAATAATAGATAATCTGTTTATTTGTTGATTAGGTAAAGATGTATACATTCCTATGAAAGACATGATTCCAATGGTTGATCCAAACAATTTGGTTGTCGACGGTTGGGATATATCGGGCGCCAGTATTGCTGAGGCTATGAAAAGAGCCAAAGTGTTGGACTATAACCTGCAAACACAACTCATACCACTTATGAAAGATATGAGACCACGAAAGGCAATATTTGACTCGGAATTCATAGCCGCGAACCAAAGCCAAAGAGCAGATAATGTAATCGAAAGTCACGATAAATGGACTCAAATTGGTCTCATTCGTGACGACATCAGAGAGTTTAAGTGTAAACACAATTTGGAGACAATTATAGTGTTGTGGACCGCAAACACTGAAAGATTTATGGATCTCACGGATGGCATTCATGACACCGTCGACTCTCTCATCGGTGCCATTAAACGCAATGAGGCAGAGATCGCACCGTCAGTATTATATGCCGTCGCAGCCATTCTCGAGAAAGTATTCAAATATTTGCTCTTAAAATTAGAAGGATTTGCATTCAATTTCTTTATTACTATACTTTGACAATACTTTTAGTGTACTTTTATAAACGGTTCGCCACAAAACACATTCATTCCGGGACTCATTGATTTGGCTGAAAGGGAGGGAGTCTTCATCGCTGGCGATGACTTCAAATCGGGACAAACGAAATTCAAATCAGTTTTAGTAGACTTTCTGGTGAGCGCTGGCATTAAGCCCTGTTCTATAGTCAGTTACAACCATTTGGGCAATAATGACGGCCTCAACCTCTCGGCTCCCAAACAATTTCGCAGTAAAGAGATCTCTAAATCAAATGTTGTCGACGATATGGTGGCCTCTAATCAAGTGCTGTACGGACAGGGCATTGAAAAGCCCGACCACTGTGTGGTGATTAAGTACGTGCCATATGTGGCCGACTCTAAGCGAGCTATGGATGAGTACGTGAGTGAACTGATGTTAGGCGGACTCAACACTATCGTTGTCCACAACACTTGTCAGGACTCGCTGTTGGCATCGCCTATAATCCTAGACCTCACTATTCTGGCTGAACTCTGCCAAAGAGTTACCTTTCAATTACATAACAATTGTAATATTATTTCAAATAACTATTTATCATATAATAGACTATAAAACTTTGAATTTGTTGTGCGAATAGGCGTCTCGACATCCGGCAAATACCAGTCATTCAATTCAGTGCTGTCTTTGTTGAGCTATTTATGCAAAGCTCCTCTCGTAGAAAGAGGTGGACGAGTGGTTAACGCACTCTTCAAACAGCGGGCGTCTATAGAAAATATATTGAGAGCTTTACTATCATTACCACCGCTTAATCACATGGATTTGGAGTACAAATGCTCGGATCGGATGCAATGGCACGAAGAGCTCAAACATCCGATCCGATCGGATAAGCAATTGGAGAGCAAACAATCAATCGCTCCCATCACTAATGGCATTACTGGTGGACATTAGTCTCGACAATAACTAAACCATATTTTATTATTTTAATTTCTTAATTTAAAACCATGTTTGTTAGTTTGTTATAATATTTTTGTAACAAATACAAGTATCGATATCTACAGATGATAAAATATTTGTTCAATAGTTTTACTTGATTACTTCACAGTCAAAACGCAATACTATATATAGATTTTTACTACAAAATTGTGAATTTTTATTTATTTTCTCATTTTTTGAAAAATAGTTTATAATATAATTTATATAGTTCTCTCTCCCAAAAAAATACTAACATTTTTATGAAAAATATTTTTACGGTCTATTTCTAAGCATTTTCTAATTTATGTTTTAAACACTTTATTTCGTTAACAGCAGGTATTGGTATTGAGTGCAAATTTAATCACATGGATTTGGAGTACAAATGCTCGGATCGGATGCAATGGCACGAAGAGCTCAAACATCCGATCCGATCGGATAAGCAATTGGAGAGCAAACAATCAATCGCTCCCATCACTAATGGCATCACTGGTGGACATTAATCTCGACAATAACTAAACCATATTTTATTATTTTAATTTCTTAATTAAAAGCCATGTTTGTTAGTTTGTTATAATATTTTTATAACAAATACAAGTATCGATATCTACAGATGATAAAATATTTGTTCAATAGTTTTACTTGATTACTTCAAAACGCAATACTATATATAGATTTTTATTACAAAATTGTCAATTTTGAGTTATTTTCTCATTTTTTGAAAAATAGTTTATAATATAATTTATATATTTCTCTCTCCCAAAAAAATACTAACATTTTTATGAAAAATATTTTTACGGTCTATTTCTAAGCATTTTCTAATTTATGTTTTAAACACTTTATTTCGTTAACAGCAGGTATTGGTATTGAGTGCAAACAAGTTGTACACCAATTCTCTCACAAAGACTTCTTTTGAGCAAAACATTTATAGTTTGTGTTTGTATTGAAAAAAATGAAAAAAACTTTTCTTTTCTTTGTACTGAAGGGCCAACGGTTTTCTCGGAGCGGTTGACCTGATTTCCAGTAAATTACTGACTAAACCAATAGTTTGTTACGAAATAGCATTCAATGGTTTAAAGTTTTTAAATATCGTTAGAAACATATACTTATATATTATGTAATAACGAGTTTATCTTATATTATAGACTTTTAAAATCTTTTTTTCATTGAAAATGGATATTTCATTATTTACGTTGAATTGAGAATATTATTACAGAAAATATGAAAACAATTCAAAGATTAGCTGAAATTTACTTTTTTGCGCAACGATTTGATTGATGGCTAAATAATTTATATTCAATATACAGATAAATCTAATTTCAAAATAAAAACCCATTAATCTTGTGCTGAAGGCGGGGAACAATGATTTCACTTCAGAAACACTGTTATCTTGTGGTGAATGAGGAATGTCTTAAGCGATGATTGATTCGACACTTTTGATTGTCTTCACTAATAACTGATTTTTGATAATAATTTTATATTTAGAATCAAATCTAATCTTTAAATCAAATTCAGAACTCAATCTCTTTCTTATTATTAGAAACACTTTTAATTACTTGTAATAACAACTTATTAATAAGATATTTGAATATTAAAAACAATAATCATTTTTAAAATAAATAAATTAAAGAATAGTTCATAGACTGCTAATACAGAATTTGTTTCTTTATTTGAGTTTATAATAA